GCAATACAGACACATAACAGCAAGCTGGAGGCTGGGTGAATATAATGGAGACGTATCCCCTCACTCTTCACACCATAGCAATATCTAGGCTCGGTGCAGAAGTCTTCCATCATACCAGACAATATTAGCGACAGAGGTGCTTGATATATGTTTTTTTCTCAGCAGTAGCAAACCAGCTAACAGGCCTACCAGCTCTCCAAAAGGGACGTCACTGTTGTGTGTCAAATTGCAGATGTTAAAGGGAATTTAAACCATCAATAAATGCTGTTTGAATCAGATTAAATACATTAAATAATTAAGTTTGATGAATCAGATATCAGCTTCCAGTCTCGATTATTACTTTAGTAAGTTATTTAGCCATAAGTTCATGATTAAACTCAAAAATATCTTCCCTTAGAAAATGTCACTTGCTTAAGCTAAGTTTTATGTCACCTTCTGTTTTGGTATTCAGCTGCTTTAATATATAATAAGAAGTTGACTTTGAATTTGTAAAATTAACTGACGTGTGGTCCTTAAAATTAACCTTACTAAATGTATATGCAACTTGGAGGATGAAAGGGAAAGAAGGCGTAGTGCTTATGAAGTCAAATGTCTTTTCTTGTAAAGGTTTTTACATATTTCTTCAATAGTTATGGTAATTAACATTGAGGACCCTCAGCTTACATAACTGATAGAAATACAAGCACATCAAACGGCTTTTTAATGTACCTTTTCTCCTTGATGTGTCAAAGCTTTTTAATATGACATTTAAACATGTTTCAGCGCAATATTTATGCCATTACATGCGGCATTGTCCACATACAGTCAAGTTCTAGTGTAAACATGTTAATGATAAGTAATACAAATGATTCATTTTGATGGCACCTTAAAAAGAAAAACGGAAATAAAAACAACAAACAAAGCTGAAAAATTGAAACAATTGCAAGTATGCAATTTCAAATAGAAATACCTCAAAGTAACAAATAAAGCATGTATATATTTAACTTTTTTTTTATTAATTAATAAAAAACATACCTTTTGAAAAAATATGTTTAAATAGCAATTACAAATATGTTTCAATCTGTTGTGTCAGATGCTGGTGTTGAAATTGCTCATGAACTTGATTCATATGGTAAACATCGTCATAAAAGTTCATTAGCAGGTGATGAACCTATTATTTTTCCTAAATACTTCAGTTGAGATTTCAATATGTTGGAAAATGAAGAATCATGTTACCATTCAGTATAGAATATATTGTTGCAGTACGCTCTTTGTCTCAGCATTATGTTTAAGACATTAAAGCCAAGTAGTTTCAGCTCAAGGGTAATGAGGTAGTTTGAGTGAACATAAATATAAGACCTATGCCACTGAATAACTCGAAAGAAAAATCGGTGGACGAACAGCAGTTGCCATTTATACATTTGTAGCTGCGCCAAGCAATGCTAGCAACCAGCAACGTTTTCATCACTCTTTCGACTCCAGCTTTGTAAAAATATGGCATGTACAGTTGGTCAAGTGTTTGTTTGCACATGTTCTACTTGTATGTAGTGGAGGGCAGCTGAAAAAGGCAGAATTCCGTTTTGTATGTAATGAAACACTGTACTTGATCACTTTTCATTTTACACTTGACCACCCATACATCATGCAAAGTGTAATGAATTGCAGAAATAACTACATGTTTGTGTAACTAGCGGATTCCCTTTCTGGTTTCTTGGCATAAGAGTGTATCGGTGGAACTTTTCGGCTGTGTCCGTGTGTAGCTTGGAGTCATTCAGAGGCAGTAGGTTGTATATAATATGTCTTGCAGTCTGACAGAAAAAAAAAGTGTCTCCGAAGGGCTACAGGAGCTCCAGGAAGGGATGAGTGCTGTTTATTGCTACTTTCAAATGTGCCTTGGTTCCCTTGTAAAGTCTGAATCCTGCACTATCGTTTCATCTGCATTGGGATTGTAATATTAGGCGTATAAATGAGGCCATTTTAGCCCAATCTAGGGGGTTGTGAATTCAGATGTCATCGTAAATGTCCCCTCTTTTTCATTCTCAGCCCCACAGCTTCTTACTTCTACCACAATGCCCAAACAATCCCCTTCTCCCGCCCCCAGTCTCCCAGAATCTAATCCTTCTGCTTGTCCCCTCCAGCCAAAGCGCTGTCCGTGTCTGCCTGACCAACTCCCCTCTCCTGCCCAGCCCCCTCTTCCATCCTTCCGTCTTGCCGCATCCCAGCAGCCCCCCAAGGCCTGGCAAAGGATTTGTGCTCTGACTAAAAGGAGGAATCTATTTCCCATCTCTGCAGCCTTAGCTAGTTATCATAGGGAACATGCTGACTCTCTGGAGTGATGGCTCGAGGAGAAGTTTAAGCAAGAATCCATATTTAAACAACTGAATGCCCTCCTCACATTTAAACAGTCATGGAGCCTCAGCGACCTCCAATCATATTTCAAGCATCATTGATGTATATCATGTCTGGTCCAGCCTCACAAATCAATAGCAATTTTATTGAAGTACTGCAGAAACAATGGTTAAAAAAACTAGCTGGTGTTATGGAAGAGTTCTTTATTGAGACTTCCTAAATATGGTCTGTTTTCACACTGGTGATGTATATTAGATCAAATAATGTACTTTTCTTTCTTTATGGGTCATGGGCATTTTGAAAAAGGCCCTATTATGCTTCATGGGGTTTTCCCTTTCCTGTAGTGTGTCATATAGGTTTGTGTGCATGTACATGGTCTGCAAAGGCTAAAGTCCCAACATTCCTTCGAGATGGAGTATCTTTTTTTGTACCTTTTGTGCATCAATAATACAAATCACTACACCATAACAAAGCCTTTATGATTTTAGAATATTAGATTAGATTAGATAGTCTTTAATGATCCAAAATGGGAAGAAAACACATCACTGGAGCATGTTGGTAAAGTATTGCACATGAGTTAAAAAAAAAAAGAAAGAAAATAACAAAAAAAACGCAACCCTAACCCTAATAGTAAATACAGAATAACTTATTTAAATATAATAGACCAATTTAAACTATAATATAACATATAAACATAGGATACATTATAAAAGTGTGCAACATTTTGTTATACAAATTAGTAGATGTTCATTCAATAACAGGAAAGACCAATTTCTTACTGTATACCGTGATATATTGAGCAGCACTGCTGGAGGGAGAATACAATGGTTCACCCCACAATTCAAATAATCACTATTTAGATGAATGGCAGAGAGCTACATCTGCCGTGAGAAAGAAAAGTGACGGTTGGATATGATTGGGGGATGAACAGGTTTCTGGAAACATTTTGAAGCCTGCTAAAGGTATAAAGGACACAGTGTTGATAGCACTTACCTAAGCTCTAAAAGCATTTATCAGTATCAGGTGTGCGTGGACTAAAAGGCTGATGGTTCGAATGATTTCTGGCATGGATTTGTTTGCCAAAAAAGCAGTCGAATGGTAGAAAGCAAAGACCCGCGGTATTGATCTGGGCTGACTCGTGCAGCAGAGGCAGCCCTGTTGTGCTGTATCAGTGCTTTCCTGACTTTTACGAGAGGCGCTCATGGGTGGGGGCGGGGGCAGGGGATGGGTGGGCTGGGGGAAGAGTGTGATTGCACATGCACCGTAAGGAGTCATCTTTCTGTTTTGGACTGGTGGAAAGTAGAGCCATTAGTAAACTGATCTTCGGAAGAGGAAATGTAATGGTCTCCTAACTGTATTTACAAGCCATTCAATTTGATAAAGGGTGTGATGTTGAATGATTAATTTTGTTGCCGCTCGGCTCCTCTTCACAGTATCAAATTCAGTGTTTCTTCAGTATTTTTATTTATTCTTTCATCAAATCTAACAGTGAAGGCAGATCTGATGATTTATTTTGATGCTGCTAAAATAGTTACTGTAACTGTGTTTCCAAAACTGTTTTGCTCTTTTTGTTAGCATTATTTAGATCTTCTTGGGATTCCCTTTTCACTGCGAAATATCGTCGAGCTTTCCATTTGGTTAGACATCAAAGGATGTGGAAATATTTAAATATTGAGATAGGAAGTCGCTCACTGGGGCTAATGAAAAGTGAACCAATAATTGTCAGCAGAATTAATTTGTCAGAGGAAGATTTGGAAAATAAACTTTTGTCTGACAAATAAGGTAATAACAGAATAAATAATGTTTCGTCTTTTTTATCAATTGCTTTTACCTTGCATAGATGTATTGACATGTGACATGTTTACATTCTTTAATGTTCGAAAATATCTTTATTTTTCTCATACTGCCTGTTCTGCAGCACCTCTTTTCACCCTCTGTCTGAAACCAGAGCCCAGTCTGCTCTGATTGGTTAGCTGGCCAGCTCCATTATGATTGCTCACCCGCTTATGTCCCGCCCCTTAGCCTACCATATACAATGTGTTGGAGCCCTAGCCAATAGAAGCAAGAGTGGTACGTTGTGATCTCACTATAATTCTGCAGGTCTCCCTTGAAAAAGAGATCAATGATCTCAATGGGACCTACCTGGTTAAATAAAGGTTTGAAATGAAATGAAATGCGGAAGTAAACAAAAGAGTCTAATGGAGGAGTTTCAGACAGTGGGGGAGTATGTGGGAGATACACTCCATCTTAAGGGCTTTTGGGATTTGAGCCTTTAAAGACTATTACATGCACAAAAACCAATTTAACAGACTAGAGGAAAGGGAAAACCCCAACAGGCATAATTGGTCCCCTTTAAAGTTCTTCCTCTGTTCATATATGTCCACCTTAGACTGCATAATAGTAACAGTGCACAAGGGCTGCTTAATGTTTTAGGAGTGTTACATATTTAATGCTATTTTCTGACTTTTGAAGAGTGAACTTTATAAGGCCAGCACAATTCAGACAGTATTCTGATCATTGGTGGATTTTAGAGCTGCAACTTGTACTGTATTGTACCACCTGCTGGGTGTCTACATGGAAGCCCTCAGAAAAAAAGAAAAAAGTATTGTTGAAAATACCGTCCCTTGTATTGAAGATGTTAAATTATTGTCCCTTTTTTCGTTTTTTCTTAGCATACCCATCGACGAGTGACCTTCTCCACCACCAACCCTGTGCAGGACCTGCAGGACGCCTCTCAGCACAGCTACTATGACAGCGGCTTGGAGGAATCGGAGACTCCCAGCAGCAAGTCGTCGTCTGGTCCCCGCATCGGACCCCTGACCCTGCCCGAGGATCACTATGAGAGAACCACTCCAGATGGCAGCATCGGAGAGACCGAGCACCCTGAAAACGGTACCTTGACAATCCCTTCCACTCTGTCGTGTGCCCCATGAATATGTATTTGCATGTACATGACTCTAATAAGCTCTTTTTGTGTGTTGGTGATGGGAGGCATTTGTGGAAGATTTGTTGTTGTTTTTCCAGTGGAAATGTTGTGACTTGCTGTGTTTGCCGATGACTGTGAAGATGTTATTGGTTTTTAAGCAGATCTGTGGGAGGATGTGTGTGCATATAGAGAGGGGGGGGGGGTCAAGGCTGGAGTTAGCAGTGTCTCCATCCTCCTCATCAGCAGGTCCTCTGTCAGACATCCTTAATGACCCTCTCTCACAAGTGTGCTAATTAAAAAGCCCAACTAATGGAGCATTTGCCCTCTAAATAAATCTGAACCATGGCATCTGTGCAGACAACACTGTATTTACTCGCAGCGTTTCTTTCCCGCAAGTTACAACGCAGGTGTGCATAATTTCTAAGGACTGCAATCAATCCACAGGCTGAGCAGCGATGGTCTCAGCATCGGTCCATATTAAAAGAAAAAATAACCAAAGCTGTAACTGCTATTCTGTGAACTGTGCATCATAATAATAATTTTGGCGCCTTAAGCTGCCAAACATAATCCATTACCTGTCTTGTAACATACTATGATAAGTGATTCACATGGTGCATTTCCACTCATTATAGTGTTTTGCATTGCACTGCTCTCTTAGCCGTTCTTCCACGGTGGATGTTCGCCACTCACAATAACAAATCACCTTGCTTCTTATGTTTTTATATAACTACTTTGCTGTGTTAATGTATGGTTCTATATCGAGAGCATGCATGGTTATCGTTTCTTGCTAATGTATAAGGATGTATTTGTACTGCCCCCATACAAAGTGAGACATGGTGGAGCTGTTGATCAGCATTGACAGTCAGTTTGTCACAGTGTCAGAGAAAAATACACAAATATACCTTTTGTCTACGGGACTGGATCTGTATGGGCTCAGAACAGTCTCATAATACACACATGCACACAGAAGGATTCACACTTGTATTTCCGGATCCACACTTGTGTTTTTCAATGCACACACAAATGTGTTCCGTTTCATATACATGTAAATAAAATCCAAATACAGAAAAAAGTTTTACATATGTATTGTTGATCCTCACATATTAGTTTCCCGTTTAAATCCTCTGAACCTGCAAACACAAACCGCTTTCTGTGCACGGATCGCTGTGCATTCGTGTGTGGGTTTTTTGAGACTCCCCTGACGGTCAGCCGATTCGTACTTGTAATTTTTTCTATCTATAGCCAATCAAATGTCTCCTCAATTCTAAGCCAATCACATGAGCGCGCCCCCACGAGGGTAGATTTCTTGCGTTCATGACGTAGCGCGTTATGTACGCATTTTGCGCTGTCCGGAGCTGACAGGTCCATGGAGCCTGCCTGCAGGCGCTAATGTCAGGACACCTCCACTCTCAGTACATTGCCACTTTCCGAACAGGAAATGCACGCAAATACAATCTTTTATATTATTAAGGTACAGCGCCACTTTCCGGACCATTGATGAATGCTTGTGTACACACAAACGGCAGGCAAAACCGTTTTAAATGTGTGTTTCCTGTATGGCGAATACAGCTGATTTATTTATCTTAGCCTAGATCAGTGCACTACGAAGCCAGTGCTAGACAGTGAACTGTCAACGGGGGGGGGGGGGGGGGGGGTGAGCCCCGCCGGTCATTATCAGCCGATATTCACTCTTAATAGTTTGATCGGTGCTCTCTATAAAGGCCGGTCAGGAGAGCTGGATCTGATCGATATGGACACAAACGTGTTGCAGGCTTGGCCTGTCACTTTAAGAGTAGCAGCCGCAAGGGGTTGTGGGTTTTTGGTGTGTGTGTGTGTGTGTGTGTGTGTGTGTGTGTGTGTGTGTGTGTGTGTGTGTGTGTGTGTGTGTGTGTGGTGTGTGTGTGTGTGTGTGTGTGTGTGTGTGTGTGTAAAATGTGATGGCCAAGGCGAAGTGCGGAGTTATGAAGAGAGAGACGAAAGTATAGAGAAAGTAGTCAGAACGGGAAAAGTAACTAGTCTGTATGTAGGCCTATGCAATAAAGTGTCAATGTAACTGATTAGTATGAAGAACGTGAATAAACGGAGGTTCTTCCCACGGCACCCGAACGCCCCGTTTGCATCCCTTTTCCCCTCGAAATGTCTGGGCAGCTGGTTACCGACTGACAACGAGCCAAGTCAGAAACCACCGGTGTGTAACCGAAACTACGGTTTCGGTGCCGAGATACCGTTAGTAAAAAGGTAACAAACGCGAGTGAAGTATTATAACCGGACGCGAGAGAGAGATCAGATCAGCTGCTGAATCTGACGGAGACACACAGCTCTGCATGATCACCTGATGCTCCGCCCTCTGTTTAGCGAGCTGACCGGACTGCGCAAAATGCGAATATGAAGTGTCATGAACGCAATAAATCTACCCTCGTGGGGGCGCGCTCATGTGATTGGCTTAGAATTGAGGAGACATCTGATTGGCTATAGATAGAACCAAATTACAAGTACGAATCGGCTGACCGTCAGGGGAGTCTCAAAAAAACCCACACACGAATGCAACAGCGAAAACTAATATGTGAGGATCAAAAATACATATGTAAAACCTTTTTCTGTAATTGGATTTTATTTACATGTATGTGAAACGGAACAACATTTGTGTGTGCATTGAAAACACAAGTGTGGATCCGGAAATACAAGTGTGAATCCTTCTGTGTGAATGTGTGTATTATGAGACTGTTCTGAGCCCATAGATCTGAGTGTGGAACATACATATATATATATATCTATATTTTTTTTAGGGAAAGAAACAGTTTCAACCTCAAGCGCTCTCAGTTGCAAAACAGCAGGATCAAAGGCTAAAAAGTGTCACCGTCACACCATAACAGCAGATGACAAACTTCTATTATTAGCATAGTAGCTTGCGTTGTGATGCATCGCCAGACAACTGTGTTGGCTCTCATTAGCTAGTTTATTCATCTGTATTGCAAATGTTTATTGTTTATTTATTTATGTGAATTAGTGACACCATTATTCAAGGGTATAGGGAGGGGGTGGTGGATGTGCAGTGGAGGATGAATCCAGCCAATACTGCAGTTCCCTCAGGCCCTATAGAGGTCAGAGATTGCTTAACATCCCATGTAATAGATAGATTTAATCACCCTATATACAGTATACAGGCTTGGTGTTTACAGGTCAACAGTTGACCATTTCCATTTGCACTTAGAAGATGTAATATATGCATTTTATTTTATTTTTTTCTCTTTTTTGTTGTAACTAATTATTGTGTTTCTCCCTTCTGCGGAAAACAGCTTTTGTCAGTCTTTGTTGTCAGCAGCAGGAGAGCAAGATTGTGAGTGGAGATGGAGCAGTTAAAGAATGAAAAGATGGCACAAGATGGTGGAGATTGTGACAGAGAGCGGGGAGGAAGCAACGCCCATAGGATGAGCACATAGGACAGGGAGATGCAAAGATGAACGGCTCACCGAGGATAGACCTAATTAAAATGTGATTCCCACTTCAGGGAGATAACTTAGAGCCGACATAAAATGAAGGATTAGACAGAAAAATCAAACAAGACTGAGGAGTTTCTCCCCAGCTTCCACCTGAATTGTGACGTGAAATCCTTTGAGTGACAGAGTGACAGCTTGTACTGGTGCAGAGCTTTATTCATTGCAGGAGTGATGAGTGACAGGCAAAAAAATGGGGAGGTGAGCACGATGTGTCACTCCATTTAAGTTGGATAAAACGCGATATATGAACTCCAGACTGTCAGACTTTGCATCACTGGGCCCCAGAAATATCGACATGGATGTGTTTTGTATAACAAGTTTAACTTTGACAGTGGAGAATCTACATTGTGAGAGAGTGTCAGTGGTCTACAGCAGAGAATGATGTGGTTCATGTTCTATTTTAGATTCACATTTGTAAAAGTGATGGTGTCAGGTCAGACCTTTACTGACATTAGCCTGCACTTGGTGGGGTATTCCAGTGTGAAGCAATCTAAGGCCATGCAATATCTTTATTAAATGCTCGTCCCCTGTCAGGATATATATTCCAAAGATAGGTCAATAGCAAATAATACATTATTGTTATGAGTTGGTTTGCATTAGTTGGTTAATGTTGTGTTAAATCTTCTATCTATTACCACCTTTACTCCTTGAAATAAAATATGTTTGGGGTGCAGGTGGATAGTGACGACATAAAAAGCATAGTTAGGCTTAAATGCACTCAAACAGACTGTGAACCAATTGGCTAAATCACCTTCAGTGATGCATTGTGACATCATTAAACACGATTGTAATCATGGTGGCAACTACCGTGATTGAAACTGAAGCCGATGAGGAATTGCCTCTATTGCATTCTCCCGAATAGGCAGCAGGGGAGAAGAATGTATACTGTTAGAAGTCTATGACAAATTGCGTAAACATTTTAGCTTATTTATTTCCTCCGCAGACATTGTTTTGGTCTTAATTGCTAAATTCCAGTCTTCTTCTAGTACATCATGATGTTCATTTTGTAAATGATGTACCCCATTTAGTGTAGAATATACGATAAAGTAGCATATCCAGGTTTGGGGGCCCTCTCACATCAACAGCGGTTCCTGCTAGCCGTTGCGTAATAGAGCCTTCAGAGGCTTCCGCTCAGCCCTTTCAGACTGAGCAATCGGATCTCAATTAGGTCTCAATGTGGACACTGGAGACACATATTAATACCAGGTGTAAATGCAATCAGGTTAAATCATATCGGGAGACAATCTGGATATGAGAGGAATTTTAATGCAAGGTGTTAGGGAAGTCTAAGTGTGCTGCCTTTTGAAGAGTCGTGCAGACTAAAGTAATACGACCTTGGTTCATTGGGCTGGGTGGCAGAGAGGAAGGAGAGTGTGTGGTCCGTAATAGTCTCTGGTTCACTAGAGTAGACAGCAACATATTCCCTCATGGCTCTTGGCGTTGGAATTAAGAGTAGATTCAACTACAGT